CCGAGATATAACAAAACTTGTTCACATGCTATGTGCAACCATTACACGTGCTATTTTCACCTAATGATACTGATACAATGCAATACTTCATTCCAACACTATATTCAACATAAAAACATAACTAGAAAAGCAAATGTGTAATGCTTTCCTAGGCTCCCTTTCAGATATATCTAATTATAGAGGGGCGTTTTATTTTCAAGCTCCTCGTTAAAATGTGTGAACTACTTGTGATAGGAGTAAGAGGAAGCTGATATTTTGAACACGTTACACAGGATAGTATTTTATGTTCTGTGTTTGCTCCGATCTCTGCAACTGTACATATTAACAATTCTCGATCCTGAGGATTCTAAAATAAGATTCTATTAAACAGTCTCACGCAATGTTGTACTGGACATGTATGCAGTGATTATAGACGTAAGAAAGCATATGGGGTTTAAGTATATGTAAGGACAATTTGGAGTATGGTGTATTTTTAATATTATATTGTGTCATATACTTGACAATTTTCTTGAATGCACTAATTTATAATGCCATCATATACTTGTTCTTCATAGTCCTGATTTTGGATTCACTTTCTTTTATGGGTATGTGTGCATCTCCCATCCACTTTGACTCGTAAACGTAACATTGGTTTTAAAATGTTCAACTTACGAAGATGAAGACTTCATCCACGCATACGAGATCAATTACCTTCCTTCAACATTGAAAATCTCTCCTTACAGTTTTTCGAGACATGAATGTTCTAAGCGTATTCTTCATGCAAATTCAATTCCAGCCTCTGTCCACATTGCACAAACCCGGGTTAATGTGAGCCCTTCAGAAATTCAAAAACAGTACATCGTAGTTACGTTTATTTGTTAAATTAAAAAAAAAAGATAAAACGTGAGGAACTGTTTGGAATACAGAAAACTATTTTTTTGCATTAATTCCTAATGAACGTGTTGATAAGGAAGTTTCCTATAGTCAAAAATACTATCAGTTTAAACTGGCATACATACTAACAACCCATCAAACTCGTTTGGCTTCGGGACCAGTTTATTGTATTATTGATCTGAAAAGTTCCGAAACCCCACGATAATTTGTGAATTAATAATGGCAGGAAAAACGAAGTGCTACGATTGATAGATTTTCCCAGCTATCCAATGATGACTTTGAATTTGAACTTGAGCATGCTCATCAAGGTCATTTGAAGGTCGTCGATCTTTTTAAATGAAACCCTCTATTTTGACCAAGTAAATGAAAATAGCGGAAAATTTGACACTCAACTATGGTCTTGACCACTCTTAAATTGTGACCAAGGTCAAACCAAGGTATGGTGCGATGGTAGACATTGTTTTCATCATTTTCCCTCGGATACCTAATGATGACCTTGGATCTGACCTTGGACATTACTTTCAAGGTCATTCGAAGTTCAACCCTTTCTAATTGGACCCCATACCTTTGGCCGCGGAAATGGAGAAAAGGGAAAATTTTATGTTCGAATTTGTACTTAACAATTTTTGGAACTTGACCTTGGACTTGACCGTCAAGGACAAACGCAAGTTTATCTTAATTTCTTGGTAATTCAGAAAATCGTTTAATCGCCAGATAAACTGACACTCAAAAATCGACATGACCTTCACCTGACCTTGAATGTCATCATGGTTAAGGTCAGATCTAAGGTCACCCTTGGACATCCAGGGGAAAACCATGAGAATAAGGTCTTTGTAGTTTTCCTACACGACTACTGGTTTTCAAGTATATCATCGTACCTGAGTTTGACATTGACCATGACCTTCTAGTGTCAAAATTTAGGAATGGCGGTCAAGACCATATTTGAACGTAAAATTTCCCGCTTTTTCCATTTACTTGGTCAAAAATGGGGGTTCCATTTTAAAAAATCGACTTGACCATCGAATGACCTGGACGGAAAGTCAAGGTCGAATCCAAGGCCACCGTTGAATAGCTGGGGAAAATTCCTATCAGTCGCGGAGATTAGATTTTTTATAAAATTAGTTCACAAGTTATCGTGGAGTTCCGAAAGTTCTCAGACGCCCATGTTTCAAACGGTGAAAGGTTTTCTGCGTGTCGATTTGCGAACCATTTAGGCTTGAGCCCGTATAATTAAACCCACACGCGACCAACGACTATGCAGCCAAGGGTAGACGCAAAAATGTTCGGGGAGTGTTCTCTCTGCAGCCACAACATGATCACCATAACAACGTTAACAATAACAGAAAATAAAAGCAATAATCAAATATATCCCCCTTGCCATTCACACGAATTAGGTTCTTTCTCCATCCTGGTGTATCCAGAAAACGTGGCGGGGGGCATCAGGGATGAAAAACCGAAAAGCAGGGGGTGACGTGACTTTATCGATTTACGTATAATTTATTACGTTTATATGTCAACATGTCTGCGATCGGGGGTTGCATGGAAGAGCAACAATGTTGAATGTTGCCCTCAGATCTCCACTTGTAGCCTAGACTGTGACCAAATAATAAAGACACGTACTAGTACTACTTCTGAGACCGAATGGCCTTGAACATTGAAGAGCGGGGGTGGTATCAGCGATTGAAAATTGAAGAGCAGGGGAGTCCAAAACATGGTGGTGGATTTGCTCAAGGGGCAATATCTACTTACATCAAAATGAGACACACCGGTACAATGATGATATTTCTGAAAGAGGCAATTTATCGTCCCTACTCATGCAGAGTGGTAGCAGCAACTTCGTACTAATTCTTCTATGTTTTGGAACAGGGAAAAAGGTTTTTCTGGGGCTATGTTGTACACCTAGGCACAATACACTTTTTGTAAGTCCAGAGTCTGGTACATTGTTCGCCCATTTTTTCCGTACATCATAAATACAAATCAGAGTAATGTTTACAAATAGCGCGGATTGGTGACTGGTGTAATATGGCGTCACCACTCATTACACGATCCAGTACGACAATTCTCCAAATAATGAACTTTTGGGTCGCGTAACTTCAATGCTAATTTTGAGTGTGTTTTAAGAAATAGGAAACTGCCTTATTGTAGTTTCTGGAGCACTTTAGAGGTCCCGAAATGCAAACAACAAAAATAAGGATAACATAGATATCAATGAAATTTTATTCCGAGATTTGCCCGCATACCCTTAATAAGATGCCAAAGTATTTTTGGTGAAATTGATAAAAATTGTAATTGATTGTGTCAACGAATTGGTGCTAAGAATGCGTATTGTATGGAAAATATGCATGCTATATTTTTTCAGAGAAAGTAGTAAATGGACTTGTGGAATTACAACTGCTAGTGGTAGATATGCAGTACTTTTCAAAAAGCCTCCTACTTATTTTTTAACAGGTCATGTTAGCTAGATGAGATGTGAGGCGATGAAACTGAGCCATGAATACCATATTTTAACGTAAAAATAACAGTTGAATACCTCGGGCTGGCGGCTCGGAGTTATCTTGGAGCATTTTCTAAGTAGAATAATGGGCCATGCAATACCTGATTTTTAAACCCTTGGGTAAAAAATACAATGAAGTTGTTGTTTATTGGGAACTGGCAAAACATAAAGCTTAGTGAACTCTTTGGAAGGTAATCTCGAGCTTTCGACAAACTATGTTGTCATCTTCAGGAGCTAATACACAATTATGAAAATAGCAACCAATTTAGAACAGATTAAAGTTTTCAAATTACTCGTCGGTGAGGTTGCAGCTAAATGGTGTTTTAAAACGAAAGCGTTGATAATTTTATATATATAACTAATCATGAAAAAGTCCCAGTATGTCTTTTGGAAATGTCTATCTGAATGTAAAAATATGGGACATTTAATTCACAGAGTTTGACATTTTTTTAACGAATTATTCTTCATTTTATTAAATATATAAATAGATCCTGAAAAGCAAAAAACCAATATTATATATCAATATATAACATGCGTAAATGATTGGCTGTCGAGGTATAAACAATGCAATATAAAAAAAGGTTCATCTTTGATATGCTGCCAATATGTCGTTCTGAAAAGGTACTTTGTATTCTAGGGTTATAAGATACTCATAGGGCCTTTATTCCATTTAAAATGTTCCAATACGCTCGCCCGCCACCTCGGAATATTCAACGTTTACTTTTAGGCAATAAATTATGTATGCTTCAATTTCATAACCAGGAATTCAGCTTGCTAACTTGTTCAAAAAAAAAGTAGGGTAGAAGATCTTTGTGACGAGCACTGTACAAACGAAGACGATAAATAAAAAATTAATTTTAAAACAATAGCGCCCATAGGTTACTTACGCAATTTTTGCCATTTTCAATAAGCTCAAAAATATTCTCTAAAAATTCAAATGAATATAGACACTGGTGTTTCAGAAGTATAAAAAATAAAAATGCGAAAGTGGCTTTAATATAGTGGTACTTGTGAATCTATCGAAAATAAACCACTTCACGTAATTGAATTCTTGTAAATTACAGAGAGTTGCATTCAGTTGCCTGATTTCACTGCTCTAATATAGAACCGTTAAATTTTTATTTTTCTGTTCAAAAAGTGCCTTTCCTCGGTGAGTCGGATAGTTCTACCTTCTCTGAAACAGAATGTATGTACATAAGTACAAGATTAGGTAGTTACCCTTAAGAACGTTTTTGTAATCTATAAGGTATGTGCTGTAAATAGTTTTACGCTGTTTAAATGACTGATTAAATCACAATTATCGATGAAATTTTTGTTTTATTTCATGAAATACCAAAATGCACAAGGGCGGTCCAACACCAGTGTTAAAAATGAAGACAAAATTTTTACAAAAAAAAAAAATTATTTTTCAACATGTCCCCTTTCAGAAAGATGCACTTTCCCCAACGTTCCTGCCATTTTTCTTGTTGTGCCATCGTTTGATAGATGGCAGCACATGGTGATAACACCAACTTCCCTCAGGAACGCCGTCTGTCGTGAAACACGGGTACTTATTGAACAAGCCTCGTAGTTCGAATTGATGGTGAGGGGTTATTTACTAACTATATAGGTATATAAAAGGAAACAATAATAATAAAAGTTTTGAAACCATATATTACACCTATGATTATAAAAGTACGTATAAAACAAACTACATGAGAAGTTTCAAGAAAAATGGTTAGCTGGGGATGACTATAGCTTGGATACGAGACTCACATTAAGGCTGCAAATATCCTCTAACATCGCAAATCTGTACCTCAGAGTCAGACTAGGTTGAGTCCAAATAAGTAGATTTGAGATAATTATATATGAAATATTTTTCTTGCATTGTATTGAATATGACTTGATATTGATACGAGTTAAAAAGTCGTAACTTCCTTATTATTACAGATAGATTGGCGCTGCATGTAGCATATTAAACTCATTTTTGACTAAAATGGACTTAACCTAGTCTGGCTCTGGGATACAGAAGTACATACTGACAATACTGTTCAGGATTTTTTGTTGAAGCAGCCGCTCAGGCAGAATCCTAAATACCAAGGCACCGCGACTGCTGCGCGGATTTCTGAAGTGTCAAAATAAAACTGAGAAAAAACCTTAGGCAGATTGTTGCACAATCTCGACACCCTAGGAACAAATAAGCCAGTTCTGGATGTAAGGTCGACAAAGCTAGGATGGGAAGCAGGATACAGTTATTTGGAAAATGGCCGCTTGGAACGCTAGTGCATATTGAGGAAACTGGCAAAAGTGAGTTTATGTAAAATTCTGGAAGGAAACTAAAGTCTTTGCTTTCTTAATTTTTTCTCCTAGTTATCTATCTATTAACTTTTCAAAACACCTTTATCAAAGGAATAGGGGGCTTAAAACATCCGGGATCCTCAGAATTTGTCCCGATGGTGCGGATCAGATGCAAATCATAAAATACGAATAATCAAAATATCGGTCAAAGTGCGATAACATTTGCCCAAAACTGAAGCCTAATGTGAGCAAAAACAAAATTTTCGCGTTGTGACTTTCGACGTTTCAAAGATGGCCACGTGCGCTCATACTGATAGCCATATCGCTTTCATCTGAAAAAATGTCGGAAAACAGCAACATGAAATATCCAAAGAGCCACATCACTTTTAGATATTACAGGTCGTTTTTAAATTCGCAGCACATAAGGTGTTTAGTAGATAAGGAATAAAATTAGTAAACCTGATAGATGTGACAGCATCTACTATTTTCACACATTTTTGCCAGTTACAGTTTCCTCCGTGTTTGACTGCGTTGATAGCGCGTTAGAAGCCAAGGAACACCATTTTTCCCAAAACTCATATGTTCACAAAAATACGGGAACAATCAATTTATTCGATTCAACGATGATTTTGATATCATGAGAATAATTACACTTCTTGTGCGTTTCGCACAAACGTAACCGTTGTCATACCTTTTGTAAACATTTCAAACTACATATTAATGCACACTTAAGTACAAATAAAAAATATTCTTTATAAAAGTTACTGATCTTCTCATAACAAATGAAAAGTATAAAAATATAATACAAACAGTCCAGTATTAACTTCACTTTCTCAGATGATAGTAACAATTTTGATCACAGTCCTCACTTTAAGTGTAAAAACAAATAGAGAAAATATGGCATCCAACATTTCTCGTTTTACTTCCCTTGCCAATTAGCGGGAAATTATTGTAATTTATACGGATATAGATCCTAGGAGATCGTAAAGACACACGTACCAGATCCAACCGCAAGCCAAACTGCTTATTGAAATCTTTACCAGAAAATGCTAATGCTTACCAATACCATAGACGTTATGTAATGATGTATGATATTCCTAAATACTTCTTTTGAAACCAGTTTAAAAAAGCACTAACTCAAGCTATGGGAGGTTTCTGAAACTCTTGAGCTCTTGTATAATAGAAATTATTATTTTTAACATAAATATATTATTTTTTTATAGGAATTGCACATGAAGATTGACCCAAAAATTTTTTGCAGTATATGGTATTTAAGGTGTTGCCCAGAAACAAAATATTTATGGTTTGCGAGGCAGTACTATAACCAACAATTATTAAATTGAAATATGAGTGTAAATAAAAAAGCACTATATGATATATCCTAGCGGAGACAGCAGCAACGGAATACATAAAATTTCTACGGCAATATATGTATAACCAATCACATCTTTTTCACCGTAATATTTTCCCAAACTGCTCAGTATATGTTTGGAAGGTATCCAGTTATCTCGTGAATGGTAAAGTTTGAACAGACGTAGTATCTTCTTTCGTTAGGAGATTCTTTTACAGCCATACAGATGATCGGATGTTTTCCTATGATCAGTTTGTGACTGTAATTGCGTATGTCCAGGTTCTTCCAGCAGGACACATGATAAATGTATACCTACCGACAAAATGAGCCACCTGAACTAAATGCTAAATAACTACAGGGTGGTCCATCTGGAGTTTGGAAGTTAGGATAGCGGTTATGTTGACATCGAAAGCTGAAAGCTGAAATCATGCGTCAGGAACTTAGTTTTATGTCTGATGCTTACGATGAATTAACGGTTCGCTCAATATGCTGAAAATCGCTTAGCGAAAAAGGGACATTTTTAGCTTTTCAAATGAAGATTATTCATCTTTGTGAATTAGCAGAATTGACGTTCTTTGGGACCAGAAAATGCATGCGTCGCCGAGGAAAAACCAACACATCCACAACATTAGGATACTGTTTTTGACCTGGTGGTATCATTGGCCCTTTTTAAACGAGCCACAACTTGTCGCTTCAGTCGATGGCGAGCGCTACTGTACTACGCTTAACGAATGTTTTTTTTACAAAAGTGAATGAAAATGGGAAAAGGCAACATAACAATCGAACTTTTTATCGAAAACCGAATAATCGGTCGAGATTCTGATCCGGTTCGGACCGGCTATTTGAATCCGTTGGATTTTTTCTGTGGGTAGTCGTTAAAGGCTAAAATTGTGTTGACCATCCAAAGACAATTAAGGCATTTAATGACACATTGTAAGTCGTTTCTACAATTGTAGGACGCCTTTATGGCCTCCTTGATTTTCATAAGTCTTTTGGCTCCTTAAAGAAGACTGGGGTGTTTCTATATTTGTACTGTTCCGTGTCAGCGTCATCGCTCTCCTTTTGAGAGGCTATGTTTTCTTTTTGAATTGTAGGAAATTTCAGGCTGATATAACAGATGATATATTTTATTTGACAATTTGATGCAAAGGGATATTTGTAACATAACCTCAAAATAGAGTGCTGACACGGGACAGTACAATGCTATGAAAAATCAAGGACACAATTGTAGGAACGACTGCGTCAGCACGAAATCGCACTTGCCACTCAAAAAATAAGCCCAAATAGTCGAAAAAGTACGAAGCTATAAATTGACCCCCAAAAATTCTTCATGTGACCCTAGAAGAAAAAGTTGTATACAAAAGTTCATTGAAAATTATAGTCCTTTTCTCCCTTTTGCAAAGATGTTATATTAGTTTTTTATAGCCAAATTCCAAATTCTGAATGGACCACCATATACCAATGAAATTTTAAATCCTATTCCAGTTATTACTCAACCAGCAATTTGCCCCAAAATAAAGGCAATCTGTAATAATAATAAATTTAAATCAATGTAATCCCCAGAGATTTGCATGACTATATTTTTTAGCGCATGTTCTCCTATTACATTTTCAGCATGGGATATAAATTAGCTAAAATTGTATTATTTTACATTGATTACGAGGGTTGTCTCGAAGATAAGTTCCCAGCGCTCTATCTTTGCCGCGCTTGATGCTAGGCGAAATCTGGCAACAGCGTCGTGCTTTTCGGCTGCCCCACCACCGATCCCAACAAGAAGCGCCTATTTACGATGCTCAGTACCGGCCCGCGCAGCTATGAGCAATGAATGAAATATATGGGGAAACGTGTACAAGCATTCAACATGTCCTCAAATGGTGAAGATTCAGCAAATCTTGCACAAAAATCGGCGAATCCCGATCCGGGAACAGGCTGTTGAAAAATGACGGACTAACAACCCAAAAGCTAACCAAATAAAACCTATTATTTTCTCTGTAGCCTGGTCTAAAAAAATGCGTAGAAACAAATGGCGACTATGGAGAAAAATAGCTTAATTCGTTTTTTCAAATGAAAAATTCCTTGTGCCTGAAAAAAAAGTGGGAACCTTATTTTTGAAACAACCCTCGTACAATAAATATATTTTATTGAGCTGGATACTGCTGATTTTGCCTGAAAAACATGTAAAAGTGAAGCATATCTGATATTTTTAAGTGCTCAATTAAACTGCCAAAAACTAAACTCTACACTTTAAGTACTCCTTAAGCGTGAATTGTTATCTACACCAAAAGGGAACTTGACACTTAATATCGCTTCAAATGCAAATTAAACTTCAAATGTGGGGCTAATTCCTGACCCTGAAAGAATTATAATAAAAAATAAATCTTCAATACTCACGCATCCAACGTCCATTCCTAAGATCAAAGTGTTGCCATATAGGTAAATGCAGGTGATGTATGAACGGAAGTTATCCCAAGTTGTAAACATCTTCTTGCTATACAAATCATTTTCTCCCAGAAGGAAAAATTCAATGAAGTCACATTTGACATCGTCTTCATTTTTACCTGAAATATTAAACAAATTTTCAACAATGATACAGTATGTTTTCAGTCAAACTTGCACCGTACTCACGAGCCTTAGTATGCACGAAACAGTGCTCTCTACAGTTGGTTACGGGGGCCAAGAGCAAATCTGTACCTCAGAGCCAGACTAGGGTAAGTCCAAATAAGTAGTTTTGAGATAATTCTATTTGAAATATTTTTCTTGCATTCTATTGTATGCGACTTGACACGAGTTAAAAAGTTGTAACTTCCTTGTTATTGCAGATAGATGGTCGCTGCATGTAGCGAATTAAAATCACAATATTGTCATAAGCTTAACATATTAAATTCATTTTTGAGAAAAATGGACTTAACCTAGTCTGGCTCTGAAGCACAGAAATTTGATTCAATCTTTCTATGTAAATGAGTCACCAATTGACATAAACTAATACGCAGTTTAAATTTTTTACGACACACTCTAAAGTGAATCGATAAAAAAAATATCTGGGATCTGAAATAAAAATAACCGGATATATCTACGTATATAGGATTCGACCTCAATTTTTCATAGGGAACAGCCAAAATATTTTTGGAAATTACAATGGCACGATTTATACACCACTTTTGCTGTTTCGTTTGAGCCAAAACAACATATCATTAGAAACAAATGGTTCTGTCACAACTGTACATTTATAATTGTGCGTTTAAAAGTATTGTTAGCGATGTTTCTGAAAAAATCTACAGATTCAAATAACCACGGATTTCCCGAATTATGAAATTCGATTCAGCCACTTGACTGTTGCAATGAAAAATGGGTGCAATCTCTGCCAGTTGGCAATGGGTTGACGATTTTTCTCAGGAACCGGAAACGCATTTTCATTTTGCATAACCTAGACGCACAAATTTTATTTTTGTAATGAGTTATGTGATATGTTACATACGGATTGCTTGAATGTACGAGCCCTGTCTCAGCGAAGTTGGCCCAACGCCCCACAACATGATATTTGTGAATTTATTTGAGGGCTAATTCAAATTTTATTTGAAATACAACATTGTTGGTTTCTTTAAATGTTTATGGAAAGACAATAAAACCGACGCGGGTATTTTTAAAGCGTTTTTGTTTCTTTGCAAAATGATTTGTGTATAGCAAAATACATAATGGAGACAGCTCAAGTTGAATGGCCTGTTTATTCGCTTCCATAAAATACAGGTAAGCTTTTTAAAACAAATTCACGTTGCTAAGAAGCTGTTTGTTAACTTTTAACTCAATTTTGAATGCTACTTGAGCCTTAAAACGGATCATCAAGGAAAATAGGCGGGCTAATTATAACGAATTAAATATATTATGGAATCATGACTGCCAAACATTAGTTGATGCTAAGTCAAGACGTATCGAATTAGTAATCAATCGGAGAGGCGATGTGATGCAGTGGTGATTTACTGCTATTTGGTTTCATTGATCTTTATTAATCGGCAGTTTTTTTGAATTTGTAAGATATTTTTTCTTTGTTACAAAAAATGTACTTTAAGCTAATATTAAATAAAAATATCGTATGTTAACAGAAATACATATTAGTGTTTAATAAGTTTCCGCTAATATGACAATTTTCATAAAAAACGTAGTTTTGATAGATGTCACTAAAACAGGGCTCGTCTATCTTGAATTTCTGGTTGTAAGCTACATAGTGGAAAAAATTCGTTGTAAAACAGACTGAAAATGCTAAGCGTGCGAATTGTTAGAAGCCCGTCAACGAATAATCTTTCAACTGATGGATATTACCAGTCACTACTATCTAGGCTAGAACTGCAACAAAATGGCGAAGATATATTTTGTTAAAGATAATGTATTTAGTTTTTTTTTAATTATCTTAATTGATAGCATAAAGTCTGTATAAACATGGGTCGAAAAATGCGTGGCTTCCGAAATACAGGGTGTTTAAGTTTACTTTCTAAAATAGTTTTTTTTTTAAATATTTCGAACAATATTCGATGTATAACAGTGAAAATTGGTATACAAGGGAAAAAAAATTATTCTTCGCACTTTTCAACATAAAAAGGCTCTTCTGTGAGTTTTCGTTATAGTTAGCCATTTTTGAGATATTTCGATTTTTAAGGTTCGATGCATTTTTAATTATTTATGAGAAAATAATATTTTTTTTACATTTTCGATTTGGGCATTACAAGTAATTAAGATGATCGTTTAGATTGTGTTTTTAAACACAGCAATAATTCCTAACTGCAAATAAACACAAAAAACAGAATATTAATTTGTTTAATTATCCAATACTATTTTTAACAAATTAAATTAATTATTTACAACTAAAATGCTATTGGATAGTTGGGATAAACATACAAAATCTAAAGTAGTTGCTCGTAATGTAAACTCAATTGTTCAATACACAATTCACATCTACGAATCATCACATGCATTCCTGATTCTGTCTATTAGCATATCTCTTGTGGTTACGGGAGTCTGGTACACTTTTTCCTTTAGAAATCCCCACACAAAGAAATCTAATGGATTTAGGTCAGGACTTTTCAAAGGGTAATTTTGTATTTGCTACATACATATATACGAGGTGTGTAAATTAAGTAATGAGACTAGCAACATGGCGTTCGATCTGGCAACACCGGAGGCGCCGGTTCTGGATGCGAGACAGGGAAACATGTGATCCGCCTCAGGTACAAGTTTGAACTCGCTCGAATCATTCGGTGATCTGTATAGATTTTTTTTTGTGAAACAGCTTTTGGTATTGTTTTCCAAAAATTAGTGTCATCAATTTCAAGCTAGCGATGTGCTTTCAGGTTTTGCTTTAGGCTTGGGCATAGTGCAACAGAAACTCTTGCTAAACATGCCTACGGATATAGTGATTTGTCAAGAGCCCACGTTTTTCTTTGGTGTAAGGCATTTTCAGAAGGAAGAAAGTCGATTGAAGATGATGATGATCCAAGAACCGATTAAAGTATCGACAGAATCAAGAATCTTATGCGTACAGATCGTCGGTTGACAGTCAGAATGATCGATTCCTTATTCGCCTGTCTTGAATCATTGTGAATTTTTTCTCTTCCAGAAGAACCGTCTGCTGAGCTGCGTGGCTTCAGGAGGAAATTATTTTAAAGGTAACAACATAAAATTATAATTATATTTGTATCAAAAAATTAAAAAAAAAACAACGGTATTTCGTAAAGAAACTAAAATTTTTGTAGTAAAAGTATTCAAAGCGCCGCATTACTGGCAATCAGAGGCATTTAATTGCTATGCAAACCAATAAACTTTCTGTTTACTGAACTAATTACCAACATGCAAGGAGATCAAACACATCAAACTGCGCGCCTGCCGTAATTTTTTCTATTATTTTTAGCAGCAATCGTACAATTATTCTCAAAAACAGACGGATGTGTACGTTTCTCTGCCCACGCCGCACGTTTTTGACGAAGCATTATTAATGTAGTTCGTTCAAACATTCGTTGCCAACTGCCACACTGAAATCCGGTCGGCTTAGACGTATTTTGTAATTTGCTTTTGTCAACGTATGTATATGTTTGCTGTGACGCCTCTGTCATGACGTATTTTGAAACTACGAGGTGCGGCAGAAAAATTTTGTCAGAAATGTCTTCACTAGCTTAAGTATTGAGGTCAGGACAATCTCGTACGTGTACGCTATTTTTCACGATACTTCATTATGACAAAACGTGTCAACATATAAATGCTAGAGACTTATTGTCAAGTGATGCAGAATTCATTTTGTTGCCGCTTTCTATACTTTGTTTGTTAAAGATTAATGCTAAAATGTCAATTTTGTATAATCATTCGTTTACATATTTTTTTAAATCCATTTTTGGTAATTTTATATTATTGTCTATTAGAATTATTATTTATTAATTTCACCTTAAAAGTTTTTAAATTCGAACGCTGCTTAAGATCATTATTCAGTTTATTAAATTCAATATTTGCTAGTTATGCTACTATTACAGTTTTGCAGATGAAAATATATACTGCCTCTCGTTTCGTAGTTATGATAATGGCCATTTAATTTTAAGAAGTTTTCTAAATGTGGTGGTAATAAATAAATACTAAACAGCATATGAACTTTTTTACATTCAACCTACGTCGTTGCATCCATAGACCTAGTGGGCTAGTATCGACGGAGTGTCGAGCTAGCACGGATCCATAAGAATGTGAATAATGTCTACCTGGTGTCGAGCCAGCGGGCTAGTGTAGACGGAGTGCGAGCTGGTGGGCTAGTGTCGACGGGATGTTGAGCTAGTGGGCTAGTGTAGACGGGATGTCTAACTAGTGCTGATCCATATAAATAAGTGACTAGTGTTGGCAGGATGTCGAGCTAGTGGGGCTAGTGTCAATGCTATGTCGAGCTAATTCAAATCCATAAAAATAAGTGACTAATGTTGGAGGGATGTCGAGCTAGTGGGGCTAGTGTGGACGGGATGTCGAGCTAGTTAGGATCCATAGAAATAAGTGAGTAGTGCTGGCGGGATCTCGAGCTTTTGGGGCTAGTGTCGACGGGATGTCGAGCTAATTTGGATCCACAGAAATAAATGACTAGTGTTGGAGAGATGTCGAGCTTGTGGGGCTAGTATGGACGGGATGTCGAACTAGTGCGGATCTATAGAAATAAGTGAGTATTAACGGGATGTCGAACTAGTGGGGCTAGTCAATGCTATGTCGAGCTAATTCGGATCCATAAAAATAAGTGACTAATGTTGGAGGGATGTCGAGCTAGTGGAGCTAGTGTGGACGGGATGTCGAGCTAGTTAGGATCCATAGAAATAAGTGACTAATGTTGGAGGGATGCCGAGCTAATGGGGCTAATGTGGACGAGATGTCGAGCTAGTTTGGATCCATAGACATAAGTGACTAATGTTGGAGGGATGCAGAGCTAATGGGGCTAATGTGGACGGGATGTGGAGCTAGTTTGGATCCATAGAGATAAGTGACTAATGTTGGAGGGATGTCGAACTAGTGGGGCTAGTGTGGACGGGATGTCGAGCTAGTTAGGATCCATAGAAATAATTGACTAATGTTGGAGGGATGCTGAGCTAATGGGGCTAATGTGGGCGGGATGTGAAGCTAGTTTGGATCCATAGAGATAAGTGACTAATGTTGGAGGGATGTCGAGCTAATGGGGCTAGTGTGGACGGGATGTCGAGCTAGTTCGGATCCATAGAAATAATTGACTAATGTTGGAGGGATGCCGAGCTAATGGGGCTAATGTGGACGGGATGTCGAGCTAGTTTGGATCCATAGAGATAAGTGACTAATGTTGGAGGGATGCCGAGCTAATGGGGCTAATGTGGACGGGATGTGGAGCTAGTTTGGATCCATAGAGATAAGTGACTAATGTTGGAGAGATGTCGAGCTAATGGGGCTAGTGTGGACGGGATGTCGAGCTAGTTTGAATCCATAGAGATAAGTGACTAATGTTGGAGAGATGTCGAGCTAATGGGGCTAGTGTGGACGGGATGTCGAGCTAGTTAGGATCCATAGAAATAAGTGACTAATGTTGGAGGGATGCCGAGCTAATGGGGCTAATGTGGACGGGATGCCGAGCTAGTTAGGATCCATAGAAATAAGTGACTAGTGCTGGCGGGAAATCGAGCTTTTGGGGCTAGTGTCGACGGAATGTCGAGCTAATTTGGATCCATAGAAATAAGTGACTAGTGTTGGAGGGATGCCGAGCTAATGGGGCTAGTGTGGACGGGATGTCGAGCTAGTTAGGATCCATAGAAATAAGTGACTAATGTTGGAGGGATGCCGAGCTAATGGGGCTAATGTGGACGGGATGCCGAGCTAGTTAGGATCCATAGAAATAAGTGACTAGTGCTGGCGGGAAATCGAGCTTTTGGGGCTAGTGTCGACGGAATGTCGAGCTAATTTGGATCCATAGACATAAGTGACTAATGTTGGAGGGATGCCGAGCTAATGGGGCTAATGTGGACGAGATGTCGAGCTAGTTTGGATCCATAGACATAAGTGACTAATGTTGGAGGGATGCAGAGCTAATGGGGCTAATGTGGACGGGATGTGGAGCTAGTTTGGATCCATAGAGATAAGTGACTAATGTTGGAGGGATGTCGAACTAGTGGGGCTAGTGTGGACGGGATGTCGAGCTAGTTAGGATCCATAGAAATAATTGACTAATGTTGGAGGGATGCTGAGCTAATGGGGCTAATGTGGGCGGGATGTGGAGCTAGTTTGGATCCATAGAGATAAGTGACTAATGTTGGAGGGATGTCGAGCTAATGGGGCTAGTGTGGACGGGATGTCGAGCTAGTTCGGATCCATAGAAATAATTGACTAATGTTGGAGGGATGCCGAGCTAATGGGGCTAATGTGGACGGGATGTCGAGCTAGTTTGGATCCATAGAGATAAGTGACTAATGTTGGAGGGATGCCGAGCTAATGGGGCTAATGTGGACGGGATGTGGAGCTAGTTTGGATCCATAGAGATAAGTGACTAATGTTGGAGAGATGTCGAGCTAATGGGGCTAGTGTGGACGGGATGTCGAGCTAGTTTGAATCCATAGAGATAAGTAACTAATGTTGGAGAGATGTCGAGCTAATGGGGCTAGTGTGGACGGGATGTCGAGCTAGTTAGGATCCATAGAAATAAGTGACTAATGTTGGAGGGATGCCGAGCTAATGGGGCTAATGTGGACGGGATGCCGAGCTAGTTAGGATCCATAGAAATAAGTGACTAGTGCTGGCGGGAAATCGAGCTTTTGGGGCTAGTGTCGACGGAATGTCGAGCTAATTTGGATCCATAGAAATAAGTGACTAGTGTTGGAGGGATGCCGAGCTAATGGGGCTAGTGTGGACGGGATGTCGAGCTAGTTAGTATCCATAGAAATAAGTGACTAGTGCTGGCGGGATCTCGAGCTTTTGGGGCTAGTGTCGACGGGATGTTGAGTTAATTTGGATTCATAGAAATAAGTGAGTAGTGCTGGCGGGATCTCGAGCTTTTGGGGCTAGTGTCGACGGGATGTCGAGCTAATTTGGATCCATAGAAATAAGTGACTGGTGTTGGAGCGATGCCGAGCTAGTGGGGCTAGTGTGGACGGGATGCCGAGCTAGTTAGGATCCATAGAAATAAGTGACTAGTGCTGGCGGGAAATCGAGCTTTTGGGGCTAGTGTCGACGGGATGTTGAGTTAATTTGGATTCATAGAAATAAGTGAGTAGTGCTGGCGGGATCTCGAGCTTTTGGGGCTAGTGTCGACGGGATGTCGAGCTAATTTGGATCCATAGAAATAAGTGACTAGTGTTGGAGGGATGTCGAGGTAATGGGGCTAATGTGGACGGGATGTCGAGCTAGTTTGGATCCATAGAAATAAGTGACTAGTGTTGGAGGGATGTTGAGCTAATGGGGCTAATGTAGGCGGGATGTCGAGCTAGTTTGGATCCATCCTGTTGAAGGGATGTCGAGCTAGTGAGGCTAGTGTCGAAGGGATGTCGAGCTAGTGGGCTAGTGTGGAAGGGATGTCGAGCTAGTTAGGATCCATAGAAATAAGTGAGAAGTGTTGGAGGGATATCGAGCTAGTTTGGAGCCATAAAAATAAGTGACTAGAGTTGGAGGGATATCGAGCTAGTGGTGCTAGTATGAACGGGATATCGAGCTAGTTTGGATCCACAGAAATAAGTGACTAGTGTTGGAGGGATGTCGAGCTAGTTTGGATACATAGAAATAAGTGACTAGGATGTCGAAGTAATGGGTCTGGTGTCGACGTGACGCCCAGTCAGTAAAAACAGCTATACGAAAATCACTTTTCATTGATGTTTGGTGCAAAAAGTTCTGAGTACGGTCCTGAAATTCATCAAACTCATTACTGCGAGCGGTACAGATTTGGCGCAAAAATCAGCTTCTCGACTTAATAGACTTCAAAACGTAATGATCACCTAAAGTTATCCAATTTTTGAACTTCACAGTTAAAATGTGCTGCAGGAAGAAAACTATGGACAGAAGGGTGGATTAGGAGAAATCTTAACACGCGCTTTCACTAATGACTATTGTAGTCAGAACAGAATTAATATTGTTCTCTTCAACCAACGATTCAGACTCTATAAAATGTACGCATTTTGCAAATTTCAGGATATTAGAGGAAATACTAGAAATGTTATTACAATGAACAGTGAGAAGTATTACATCATTCAGTACAGATATTTCCCGTCCGAACCGCGTCACAGCTATAGTATCGATCTATGGAACTGCCTGTATGCCACAGACGCATGAGAAACATGTACATGAGTGGTGATTCTAACATGCAGCAATAGCCCGTCAGTTGCGAATCCCTTCGATATATAAGAGTGGGAAGCTACAAAATGAACTGAAGCAGACTGACAACCTGACCTAAATCCGTAACAGACGTCTCAAATTGGACAGACAGTAGTGTCATTTTCTAACAAGTAGTGTTTTGGAATCATAGCGATAGGGGTTATGTCTGGAACATATGTGTATTCAATCACTATACGGTATTAAAATATAATTTACCTGGGCGATCAGAACGCGTTTTGACGCGAAATAAATGAGGTTTGCATTCGGTTTAATTTTATTACGTGAAGCAATAGAAGAGATTCCTTTAAAATATTGAAGCTAATTTTAAATGTTACAAGTGTCATGCGTCTTCCTTGCGATAAACCAATATGCGCGCCACGGTTAACATCTAAAATCTAGCAATGGCTGAAGACGGTAAGCATTCACAATAAATCACTATGCTTTACCAACGATCAGTTCACATTCATTTTTGAAGTGTCATCTGAGGTTATTTGTGTATCGCATATAGTTTTATGATGCGGAAGTTTATGGTGTCACCAATAGAATTTTGTGGAACTTTTCCCTGACTACGACAGGTTTATATTGAATTATGTTCCGTCCTCGTCGAAGTAAATGTTTAGAATACATAACGTAGTACCCTCGTAGCTCACTAAACGACTTCAAGGAGCGACCTACCGTACCTGTCTGTCCCCTCTCCGGCGTCACTTTCTTCAAAGCCAAGTTGTTGCAACAATTGGGTGAAACATAGGGAGCGAGGGAGCTATTTACTTCGTAAGTTCGTTTGATCATGTAATTATAAGAACATTATCCTCAATCTGACAGGCTGAATCAAGCGAAGATGCGGTTTAAGAAGTTTAATGCAACTGTTCACTGATGAGCAGGGCTTTGACGATTTAAATCACTACTTACACAACCGAATGATGACGTCATCCCTCAAAATCACGGTATCTGAGCTTTCGACCAGCGGAAAGTTGAACTTGATCCGAGTCCTCCGTTTCATGATGTCCATGGTAGAGCAATCGCCGGACTCGTAGTCGATGATTTTGACTTCGTTGTTGATTAGGAAAGTGCAGACTCCCTCCCACATTTTCATGCACGAGATGCTCGAAGGGGAGTACACGCGCGAGAACCATACCTCCGTCAACTCCTTTCCCCCACCCTCGGTCTGGTTTAACCGGGCGATGTAAATTCTACCGCCTACTTTTTCGTAGCACACGTAATTCTTGTACACGCTAGAATAAAAAAAAATTGGAGCAAGTTAGTTTGTTCAGGAAATCGATCAAAGCAATTGTATGTGAGATCTATGGTCGACCTACATGACACGATGTTTATTCAAAAATACTATGCAATGCAATCGAAGTATGATCAGCAACGTACACCAATTGTGGTACAATAAAGACGTTTATTTATATTGTATCGTAAAACTCTTAATGTTCGGTATCACAGACCTTAAAAAATAAACCTCTATAAAATGCTTGTTTCAATGGCAAACATATGGACAATATGTGCGAATATTATACAGGGTGGCGGATCGAAAATGAAACAGACGCATTTACTGGCAGCTCAGTTTCTTTTTTGGAAAAACGCTCAGGCCCGTCGATTTTGTTTTCGAGGGCGACACAAGTCTGGCAAAAAATCACGTTAGCACGTGCCGCCCCCTAAGCGGGGGTGACACCACCCCCAAAATCTTAAATGGAAAGGGGGGGCGCTAGCAGTATATATGGTGCCCTAAAAATGGTGTATCAAATACGAATACCTAACGCTGCCACTGAAATTTCCAACAGCCCATGATTGAATAGAGTATCCTCTACGTACACGGAGGTATGCTTGTACCAAAGTGAGAGCCTGTAACTTTACTGCCAAGGCGAATCAATTTACTGGTGTCATCGGGGAATCGGGAAACTGTAGCCTTGTAGCGGCGACCATGATGATTTGAGATCTGAACTTACTTCGCGTTTTAATGTGTGGAAGATGCATATCGTATGTCCTAAAAGTTTTGGTACAAAACTCAGTGGCTTTAATTTTCACAAACACAAAATGATATCAAGTTGCATTAAGAAACAAAAGTTTGTTTATTTACTTTACTATCAGTTGGCATTTATTTATTTTCAAGTTTTCGCTTTAAGATATATAAATGAAAACATTTCATGCAGAACCATTTATCGAATAATAGCGGGGTGCGAGCAGGGGATACCTGAATCTCCCAAAAAAATAGAAGACCACGTGCATTTACTGCAAAGAGGTCAGAGAGGTTGGTAAGAAGACCAAAAAATTAGGTCGGAATGTCAACAAGGAGACTGGCGCGTCAATCCAGATCTAAGGGCCGTAACGTCAGTCGTTCCTGCAATTGTGGATCGATTTTCTAATTCTACAACAGTGTGTTAAGATTTCATCAAAATTCGAACGGCACTTTCCTAGCTCAAAGATTAAATCAAAACGAGTTTATTTTTTACTTACACCACCCGCCGCCCTGTGAGGTAGAAATTGGCTACTTTGGACTCTCATGAGAATGTTATTGAATTTTAAAATGTCAGTTAATCAAGACATATTATTTTGTGAATTCTGGTGTGTGGGGCAGAAAGACCCGATTTGACTACAACTATTTAAAACTGTAATGACTCATACGCGTGATCAACACGTGATCACAGCTCGATCCCGGCTTCCTTCCAGTACAGCCGTATAGCGTACGACATATGTCGTTTCTGTGGCTTTGCGGTGGTCAACAGCACAGACAGAAATGGAAATAATGGCTGATTGTTCTCCGCCGGTAAAACCAATGAAATCAAAGACGCGCCTCGACCGGCAGACTCGTCGGCAACGCATTGGAACGTGTTTCGTTGAGCGATCGCATATTGTGTGTTTTTATAAGAATTGTTGTGTGATTGTTATTGTTGTGGTTTCTGTGGTTACTGTTTTGGTTATACTTAACCATGGAGAGTACAAATGGCACGAGTGGAAGTACTGAAAGCCAGGGAACAAGTAGACGGCTTCGTAAAGCACTGAAGAGGGACACGAAAGAAATCGTGCTCAACGTGTTCAATTATCTGAACAGAACTATGTCGCAGGGAGATGCACTCGCGCGTTGTAAAAGTATGACAGGCGTTCCAGAGTGGACCATTCGCAGGGTGGTGCATGAAAAGAAGAAAACTGGAGCTACTACTGATCCAAAGTTTAATTTGAAGGGACGAAAGGCCGTTAAATTGGATGACGATAGCAAAATGGCGTTAAGGCGAACCGTACATTCATTCTTCTTTAGGAATGAGATACCAACCCTCAAGGCTGTACATGCAGCGATCAAGGAAAATGAAATTATACCCCAAATGAGCGTCGAGGTAATGAGGAAATCCCTGCACGAAATTAATTTTCGTTACGAAACGCGTAATCGGAAGTCAGTATTGATAGAGAGACCTGAAATAGTCGCCTGGCGTCGAAAATACCTACGCGAAATGATTGAATATAGGCGACAAAGCAGAAAAATCTATTATGTGGACGGGACATGGGTAAATGCAGGTCACACAGTTAAAAAAACCTGGATAGACAAAAACGTAGTGAGTAACCGACAAGCAAGCATTGAAGGTTTGTCAACAGGTCTTCGTGGACCGTCAGGGAAAGGTCAAAGATTGATCGTAACTCATATTGGTAGCGATAGTGGCTTTTTAGAAGAGTGTGACTTGATTTTCGTCTCTAAGAAAGGAGGTGATTACCATGACGAAATGAATGCCAGCTGCTTCGAGAGCTGGTTTCAAGGGGTGCTTCAGCGAGTTGAGCCCAACTCTGTGATCGTCATGGATAATGCTTCCTACCATAGTCGTCGAGCCGAACGTGTACCGACTATGGGATCTCGAAAAAGTGACATGCAGCAATGGTTGCGCGAAAAAGGAATCTCGTTTGACGATTCATGTGTGAAAGCGGAATTGTATGAAAAAATTAAACAGCACAAACCTGCGAACATTAGTTACGTGACTGATGAGATGGCCCGTCAATGTGGTGTCACTGTGCTGTGGTTACCGCCCTACCACTGTGAACTGAACCCAATAGAGCTCATCTGGGCTCAAGTGAAGGGTTATATTGCGCGCCATAACACAACCTTCAAATTACCAGACGTTAAGGTTTTACTTGAGACTTCCATACAGCTAGTAACGCCCGAAGCTTGGCAGAATGCTATCCGTCATGTTGTGAAGGAAGAAACAAAAATGTGGCAGCTTGACCACCACATCGACACCATCATAGAGCCAGTTATAGTCAATTTCAACGAGGAACAGTTTATTACTGTCAGATGTAAGTGGAAGCGACGATGAATAAAGGTAATTCCCAAATTTTTGACTTACAATATGTTTCAAACCACTCTTTATTAAGCATGTGACAAATCTAGTTCACCCATGTTAAACATTCATACCCCGCCTATGAATAGCGGACTACTGGTAGTTAAGTGATGTTCACGTGAACATCGATGAGTCATTACAGTTTTAGATAGTTATAGTATAGCTACGCCAATCGGGGGGATACGCAGTGGGGAATATATCATTCGACCTGACTATTCCTGCCATTTCTAGTATAAATCATGGTTTGGTTGATGAATTTATTCAACATGGAGGTAGTTTTTTGTTTGAACTAAAAAGTGTACCAACACGACGATGATCCAGGAAATTGCAGCCATTCCGCCTGCACGATCAGCAGAGAGATGGAAAATTATCGGAAGAGGCTCACTAAGTGTATCAACAATGGAGGCGCACACTTCAGTGATGTCATTTGCAAAACGCATTGACTTAAAATGGCATTAAATATGCTTTTAAAAAAATAAAGCTTTTTTCTATAACTTGTATCAGTTCTTATCGGCTCTCCAACTCGGGGAATTCTTTCTGTCCCACCCTGTAATATGGAACCAGGAGATAAATAATATATATATATATACGTATATATACAGGGTGACTTCGTTGTTGAGTCATTTATTTTAACAGTGAGTAGATCTGATCAAAAGAAATGTTTTTTCCTTTACCATTTTTCTGGTAAAATTAAAGTAACAAAGTTATAGCCCTTTGGAAGTTTGAGTACCGCCCTGTCTCAATAATAATATTATGTGCTCGTGTTTGGCGACAACGGATATAATCCGCCTTATCGGTTCATCGCATCGGAAACAAAAAAGCGAAAGAATTTGGAACGATGTTTTTACAATTATTTTATTCATTTGTATACAGTCAGTGTCAGTCGGTAACGCGTGGGTGAATAGTGGTGTCTGTTGCGTGGCTCAAACAAAATCAAAAATGGCACATGTTTACGAAAATGCTGAACTTGTGGACATGATTCTTATTTACGCGGCATCACGGATTTTGCGGATCGGTTTCCCAATCGAGTGCAACCAACCCGGTGCACCAAGACCGCACGATCAAATACAGGTCCGCACTGAAATACTTGTCGGGAGGATACTTTATAAAACAAGGTAACATTTTTTTTTAATTTTTTTTTATTTTTACACACATATTTTGGTTTACCTTCCTTCTACAATCATTATCTGAAAATTAATGACTCACCCTGTATATATATATATATAGGTGAAAAATTAAAGCTTCCGCCTTTTGTTGGGTACTTCGACAAAATTTAAGCAAAGAGGACTCTTTATACTTTTTTAATTCTCTCTAGCTTTCAATGGACTTTGCCATCATCATCAGGAGAGTAGTATGTGGGGATGTTGCTAATTGTTGTTTACGTATAGGATGAGGCAAACGTCCAGTAACATGGTGAGAGCTGGATAGATGGTACAATGGTCAAAATTATATAAAATATGACAAGAACAAGTTAAAAACAGATTAAAAATTATTTAAAAAAAAAAATTTTCACCTAACTGGTCTAGACGACAATGACCACGTCTCAAGTTATATATATAATTAGGCGAAAACCAAAAAAATACGAACATAAACTTTGCATGTTGTGTCTCTGTAACAACTAACGCAACACTTATTTTCACATTCCGAATGATATTTTTTCAATGGCGAACCACTCAATGAATCTTGTCGACAGCCGTACTATGATAAATTCGCGCAACAGTATTTGTTGAAAGATGCACTTGGCTCAATATACTTGGGTGCTGTCAGAAAATATATATTTTTACGCCTTTTCGATCATGTTATTTTGAATGAACACCATCACCGAAATGTTTGAAATGTTCTGAATAAACAACATGCTTCGTTTACGCTTGATTAATTACCGGGAATAAGTGTTGATATATACAAAAAAC